CAACATTACAGTTATGAAGTAGCAACGAAAATAATTTTATGGTTGGGTCACAACATGAGGAACTGTATTTAAAGGGCCAGAAGGTTGAGAACCACTGCCCTAACCCCTCCTGCCTGGTGTGTTCCGAGGGGAATACTTGGGTCCTTTCCCCGCGCGGTTGAACGTGTTTCCCCCCAGGAGGCCTTCCTGGAGGACTTGAACAGCATCGTCAGTCTGGGGGACGTGCCTGACATATTCGAAAAGGAGGAGCTGGACTCGCTCGCCCTGCGGATCCGGTCTCTGGCCGAAAGGACCGGCTACGTTGACAACAGGCAGGCCGTCCTGTCCTTCTTCCAGAAGGTACCGCCGCGCGCCGGCTGCCCCAGCGCCGTGGGAGGTGGGCGCAGGCCGCATTCGTTGTTCCTGTGTGTGATGTTCACCTTGGGGGACTTCCTTGAGTTCTTTCAGGGAGTTTTCAGAGCTGACGGGACTGCCAGCCCTCCACACGGGCACACAGGGCTCTGAGCCTGGGCCTCCCTGTCATTGGCTGGAAAAAGAACAGCTGCTGAAACCGGTTTGGCTCAGTGGATAGAGCGTCGGTCTGCGGACTGAAGGATCCCGGGTTCGATTCCGGTCAAGGGCATGTACCTGGGTTGTGGGCACATCCCCAGTGGGAGCTGTGCAGGAGGCAGCTGGTTGATGTTTCTCTCTCATCGATGTTTCTAACTCTCTCTCTCTCTCTCTCCCTTCCTCTCTGTAAAAAATCAATAAAAATATATTTTTTAAAAAAAAGAATAGCTGGAGGTAATGACAAATGCGATCCCATGATGATTTCTTTTTGTTCCTTTTTTTTTTTTAAAGAGAGAGAGAGAGATTGGTTGCCTCCCACACATGCACTGACCAAGGGCAGGGCGTGAACCTGCGACCCAGGTACAATCCCTTCACTGGACTCGAACCTGCAGCCCTCCGACGCGCAGGCAGGCGCTCTGACCATTGGGCACACTGGCCAGGGCCCCACTGTGATCTCTTACGCTGAGATTCCTTCCCAGCCGAGGAGGCTTGCATCTCGGTCACGTTGGCAACAAGTGTGGACAGGCAAGAAACTGAGAATGTTTTCGTCTCTTTGAAAGAAGCCTAACGTTGACCAGGAGGCCGTGGGCACGGCAGGAAGCTGGCCAGGAGAAGCGGGTGGTGGTCGGCAGGAACTCGGCAGGCGGGTGGCCCTGAAAGGATCAGTCTGAAGCGAGGTGTGACCAACGACTGAGGCTTTCTGACCGATGGCCGGTGACTGACCGGTGGCTTGGTGAACAGGTCGACGTGGCTGCCCAAACCCCAAAGTGTCCGCTGTGGAAGCCTGAACACGGGCCAGCTTATTTCTGGTGCCCGTGTCTAGCTCTCATGGAGTCATTTGAAGACTGAACTGGGCACCCCTCCATTCCTCACCGGGTGCTTTGTGCTCGGTCACAAGAAGAAGATGTAAAAGATTCCAGAAGCAGCATCCACCATCGAGAGAGAACGTCATCTGAACGGCTGCTTCGATTGAGTTGTGGGTTTTTTGTTTAAATATATTTTTATTGATTTCAGAGAGGAAGGGAGAGGGAGAGAGAGAAGTAGAAACATCCGTGATGAGAGAGAATCATGGATTGGCTGCCTCCTGCACGCCTCACACTGGGGATCAAGCCCACAACCAGGGTATGTGCCCTTGACCGGGAATTGAACCCTGACCCCCTGGTTCTTTCTCATCATTAATGTTTCTCTCTCTCTCTCCCCCGCCCTCTCCCTGCCTCTCTGAAATCAATAAAAACATTTTTTAAAAAACACACAGAAGAGCTCTATGGGAATTGCCATTTCCTTTGGAAGGGCACTGGTCATGGCAGGCGCGCCGCGCACAGTGGGTCAGGCACACTGCACACAGTGGGTCAGGCGCTCCGCGCACAGTGGGTCAGGCGCGCCGCGCACAGTGGGTCAGGCACTCCGCTCACAGTGGGTCAGTCTTGACTCACTAAGGAAAGAATTGACACGGGTTTTAAGTGGCATGTTCAATGCGATATATTTTTTTCAAAGCAATGGATTACATTCTAACAGCTTATATTTCCATTATGTTTCAGAGAATACGTAAAAGTTTGCATATTTTTATGATCGTGAGTCCCACGGGACCTAATTTCCGCCAAAACTGCCGCGTCTATGCCTCTATGATTAGCTCCTGCACCATCGACTGGTACGAGAAGTGGCCAGAAGAGGCGCTCCTGGTTGTAGCCAACTCTTTCTTGAGAAAAAATGTGGATTTAGAGAACAGAGAGGTAAATACAACTTCTTTAAAAAAAAAAAAAACTAATACAAGGGAAGCTTTCCGTTTACTAACAGGATCTGAGAGTATCAGATTTCTGAACAGCTCTGAACCCCAGGCGAACAGAAATGGGCAGCTCTCGGAAAAATGAGAAAACAAGTCAAGTGTTTGTCTGGACCCTCGGTCCATTTCCTGTCTCATTTGCCCCCAAATTCACCTTATTTCAAAGATGCTCAGATTCCTCGTCGCCTGGGTCCCCTCACTCTTCTGCCCTCAGGGTGAACAGCAGGTGTTCCTGCCAAGCCGACCAATGGGGACTCTTTCTCTCCTGCATTTTGCGTTTCGCTGACCAGACTCTCCGCTCAGGACGCTGCAGCCTCTGTGTTTTCCTACTAAACTTCTCTGGCTCGGCTGCAGCCGCAAAACTCCAAAGCAGTGAGAGCCCAAGCCACACACACACACACGCACACACACACACACGCGCACACGCACAATCAGCTCCGAGTTTATGAGCAACAGGTAAATGAGACTCTTTTGAGAGTGACTCCCCGGAAGATCCCATGGGGTACAGACAAAGGAAGTTGTGGGTGCCCAGAGCCTGAAGCTCGGTGGGACCTCGGAAGGGGCCCGCAGCCTTACCTGTCCATGTGTTCGAGGCAGGGAAAGGCCAAGGACACGAGGGACGGGTGGAACCCGGAAGAAAACGCAGCTGGCTTTAACGCAGTGGTTCTCAACCTTCCTCATGCCGCGGCCCTTTAATACCGTTCCTCATGTTGTGGTGACGCCCAATTTCATTGTTACAAATTGAACATCATGAAAGCATAGTGATTCACTACAAAAACAATATGTGATTGTATATGTGTTTTCCGATGGTCTTAGGCGACCCCTGTGAAAGGGTCGTTCGACCCCCAAAGGGGTCGCGACCCGCAGGTTGAGAACCGCTGCTTTAACGTGGCCAGGTGGTTGGTTGGCGAGACTTGGCGGCCGGGAGATGGGCAGTTACGACTCGGTTACATCTAAGTGACAATTCCCTCCAGAGCTCAGCCGTGGGGACTCGGTTTCCATTCTTGTTCCCCTCAGCTACGTATCTGTATGTCCTGTGAACCCCTACGTTCTTACAGGTTTGTTTTACTCAAGGGAACTGACTGTCCTGCTATGGATGATCTACCTGAAGGCAGATGAGAGCAGAAGAAAGCACCATAAACATGGACCTGGACCACAGGTCCCTGACTCCGTGGGTGGCTGGAGCAGGAACGCGGGCTCAGCCCAGTGAATGGAGTCTGGCGTGTCACCGATCATTGGCCATAGCGCTGCCTCTTTCACTCTCATACCATCCCAGCTATTAAAACTCATATATTTGTGGTCCCACCCATTCGGGGCCTTTTTCTACATCCCCACATCTCAAAACTGATATACTATTTCAAGTTACAGAGTTCAATCTCCTCTTTTTTTATGTATATTTGAATTGCTTTCTCTTAATTCTTAAAAAAAATATTTTTTTTTCAGAACTTAACGGAAAAACTTGCCCCAACGTGTGTCCAAATCCACCAAAGTGTAAAAGACTTGAGCACAAAATTCTTCCAAAAAACCGGGAGGCGCTATTACGTGACCCCCCGAAGCTACCTGCGATTCATGGACACATTTGCACACATTTTGCGGTCACGCGAGAAAGAATTGCAAACCAAGAGGTGAGACTCGGAGACCAAATCAGAAAACATGTTTATTTTTTCTGTTTATGTTTCAATAGACGTTGCGTCGGCGCTTTTATTTGTAAACACCAACCTAAGACCCGCCCGTGCGACCCCGACTGCGGTTTTCGATCCGAATCTCATTAAACCTCCGTATCGGTTTGGGGAGAGCTGGTGTCTTCCCCGCGGTGCCTTCCGGCCATGACCACGGTGTATCTTGCTTTGCTGATGTTTTGTCATAAACGACCCCTCCCCATCCCTTCCCTCCTTCAGGGATCGTTTCTACATGGGCCTGTCCAAGATCCTGGAGGCCAGGGCTCTGGTTACGGACATGCAGGAGGAGCTCCTGATTGTCACCCCTCAGATAGAACAGAAAACAAAGGTGAGTTCCATTGGAAATCTCGTTGTCAAGCTCTGATAGTTTAGCACAGAGCAGCCTTGCAAAAGCTCACTTTCTGGTTTGGACACCACGCAGCTGTGTGCTCTCTCTGAGTCCCAATTTCCTTCTCTGTCAAGGGAGGGGAACAGTAACAACAGTGATAGCAAAATATTAATGTCATTATCCTATTTAATAAAAGCCTAATATGCTAAGTGTCCGACTGTTCGTTGGACCAGTTGCTATAACACACACTGACCACCAGGGGGCAGACTCTCCAACCGGTAGACTTGCTAGGGGCTGGCTGATCGGGACTGGGTGAGACAGGCCAGACACGCCCTGGAGCCCTCCCGCGGTCCCTCCCCGGCCACGATTGTGCACTGTGGGGTCCCTCGGCCTGGCCTGTGCCCTCTTGCAATCTGGGAGCCCTCAGGGGGATGTCGGAGAGCAGTTTTGGCCTGATCCCCGCAGGTCAGGCTGAGGGACCCCGCTGGTGCACGAATCCATGCACCGGGCCTCTAGTATTTTCATATTGAAATGTGATGATCAGTATCGAACTAATGGTAAAAACCTCAGGTAGGAAAATTCCCTAGTTATTCGTCATCTGAAATGTTCTGTGGTCCCGGGCAAGCTGCCCAGTATTCTAAAGTCGTTACGTGTCATTGTTCCTTACGTGCGTTGTATGAAATGATGTTTAGCGTAGTCATCTTGGTTAGGCTATTAAACAAAGATATTCCAAGGTGATGTTGATCAATTTTTACAGTAACGAAATGGGCTATTTGAATTTCTCTTTTTTTAAAAAAAAAATCTCTCAAAATTCATGCTAAGAAGATTTATTTGGTTCATTAGGAAAAAGAAAGCTTAATGGAAAAACTACAGAAGGATTCCCAGGTAGTTGAGAAAGTCCAGATGCTTGTTAAACAGGACGAAGAAATCATGGCGGAAGAAGTCAGGATTGTGGAAGAGCACGCTCAGGTAAAATTAAAACCATAACCAACAGATCACTGGGAGGTTTGCAAAATTATTCCCTAACGCCCCCATTTAAAGGTCGGCTAACTGCTCTTCAGTATACACTGAGTGGCCAGGTTATGATGACCACCCCATCAGTACTTCATTGACTCTTCCAAAAATACTGAATATTGAGAACTTCCTACGCAAATACTCTCAAGGTTTTATTATTATTATTAATTTGCATAACTAATTCACTTCATTGTACTGATGGGGTGGTCATCATAATCTGGCCACTCGGTGTATATAGTGTCCCAACTCTGGGTACTTTTAATATTTATCCCAACAAACGTTTACTGAGTAGCTACCACATGTGGGACGCGATGAGTGAAATAGGGAGCAGAGGCCCTAACTGGTTTGGCTCAGTGGATAGAGCGTCGGCCTGCCGACTGAAGGGTCCCAGGTTCGATTCCAGTCAAGGGCATGTACCTGGGTTGCGGGCACATCCCCAGTGGGGGGTGTGCAGGAGGCAGCTGATGGATGTTTCTCTCTCATCAATGTTTCTAACTCTCTACCCCTCTCCCTTCCTCTCTGTGAAAAATCAATAAAATATATATATATATTTAAAAATGCCACATGAGGGTCCCAGGGAGGTACCGGAACCTCTGCTAGGCCCCCCTCTTCCCCCCGTGAAGGGGGTATGTGGACCCATACATCAATGTGTGCAGCTTAACTTGAGTCTTTCATTTACTTAGGCCTAAGGAAGAGCGATGTAGAGGAATCAAGGGGTTGTGTTAATGGGTTTTCCCCAGACCACAGGGCTAATCTGGCTTCAGTGGCCAATCCAGGTTTTGTAGGACCTGAAGCTTATACAATTTTGAGGCCACATTTTTTTGAATTTTTAAAATATGTTTTTATTGATCTTTTAAAGAGAAAGGAAGGGGGAGGGAGAGAGAGAGAGAAATCAATGAGAGAGAGAAACGTCGATCTGCTGCCTCCTGCACGCCCCCCCCCCCCACCGGGGGTTGAGCCAGCAACCCAGGCATGTGGCCTGGCCAGGAATCGAACCCACAACCTCTTGGTGCATGGGAAGACGCTCAACCAACTGAGCCACACCAGCCGGGCTGAGGCCATATTTTTTAAAGTAATACAAAATTACTAGTTCACAGTTAGACATGGAAGTGAATATTTCGAATAAGTAAAGAAACCGAATAATCTACAAAATTTTAAAAGCTAACCATTTTTACAAATATCACACAATCTAGAAAAATAACAAGATTGTTCAATAATTCACTGCCTTAAACACCCCCACAATACCTTTTTCCTGCATTTTTTCCACTGCATACTCTGACTGCTTTTTCATATGGAAATGATTTTGTAATTTCATTTCCGATAGAAATTTTGGTATAGTCGATCAAAACGCGTTTTTCATATGGATAGTTTTCTTAGAAAAGTTTATTTCAGCTTCATCACTTATTGTTGATAATGTCATGAACATTTTTATCAGTATTGCTGTCAACTTTGCTATAAGCAGCAGTGGCATTTCAAGATTTCTTATCTAGCAATTAATCTTAAATACTCTTTGCATTCGTTAACCCGTTTTCCATCAATATCTTCATTATAGGTGTGTTTTCTGATTTTCATATTTTAATTAATGTCAATATTTCTTGCAAACTCAGCCGGGACCCTGAATTTTTCCAGTGTGATCATAGGATGCATTCTTCATTTTGACACACAATCGCTTTTGTTTAACAGCCCTCAAATTTTTGTCTTATTTGTAAATAACAGTTAAAATGATAAAAAACCTTTCACATATCTATATAAGGAATGAAATTTTTCACTTATATTATTGAGGCATTGAAAACATCTTGATTATTACCTAAAACCCCAGGGATTTTAAAGAACTGTTTTTTGCACAACTCCCATCAAAAAGGGGAAAATTCAACCTGGCCTGTGTGGCCCCGTGGTTGGGCATTGACCTGTGAACCAGGAGGTCACAGTTCGATTCCCGGTCTGGGCACATGCCCGGGTTGCGGGCTCGATCCCCAGTGTGAGGCGTGCAGGAGGCAGCCGATCCATGATTCTCATCACTGATGTTTCTGTCTCTCTCTCCCTCACCCTTCCTCTCTGAAATCAGTGACAATATTTTTTAAAAAGGGGAAATGTATGTGCTGTGTTATCAGACGTCCTCAGGAAGGAGTGAGCTTCCCTTGTGTGTGGCTACCAGTGGAAGTCTGACCGTGTGCTGACAGTTGTCTACATCTAACAAACGGAAGGATCCTCCACAGCCCAACTCTGCGTCCAGGCATCGTAACCCCTGCTTCTCCTCCGCAGCCTGGAGCTGAGCGCTGTAGCACACGTTCCTCTTATAGCATGCCCTCTGGCCCCGCGCCTGAATGCCACACGCCAGGAAAGGTGGAAGTTTCTGGAATTATGCCTAGGCATCGTTGTCCTATTTGAGATAGGTTTACACTTGTTTGTATGGAAAATAGCTAATCCTATATAATAAAAGCATAATATGCAAATTGACCGTATGGTGGAATGACCAGTCGCTATGACGTGCACTGACCACCAGGGGGCAGGCGCTCAATGTAGGAGTGAGGGGTCCCGGACTGCGGTGAGGGCGCAGGCCAGGCTGAGGGCCGCCCACCCCCAGTGCATGCATCTCATGCGCCAGGCCTCTAGTAGATAATAGCACAACTGCATACCCATTCATATGTATCTGGGGGCTTCTGCCTTCTTGCAGACAACTGCCAATGAACTGAAAGGCGTCATGCCGGCTCTGGAAAAGGCCACCCTCGCTCTCAATGCCCTGGATAAAGCCGATATCTCTGAGTTGAGGTGAGTCATGTACCTCTTTCTTTTGAGTTGAAAAAGTTCCGAATAAAGCAATAGACACCTGGCAAAAGTCACTAAGTCCACATTCCGTGTTTAGATGGCCCTTTTTACCCATCTTGGAGTTGTTTTCTTCAATTTTATATTACATGTGATATCTACCGTGCCTAATCCATGTTACGATGCCATCGACGGTAAGGCATGTCAGGATTGTATGCTGCCGGGGTGCGCCCTTGGTTATAAACCCACCCGCAGTCTCAGAGACGTAGAAACGTGCGTCCTGGAGTTGGTGAGATGCTGTCTTGCCGAGACCGGGCAGAGAAGCCCCAGGGCCTGTGGACGTGCCTGACCTGCGGTTCCACAAACCAGAGGGCCCTGTGCTGCTCCTTCCGCCAGGTTAGCGGTGGGATCTGTGGGGGTGCAGCCCTGCACATCGGTGCTGCACTTCCGGCCCTTGCCACCGGGTGGCGCAATGGGGAGCACTTCCCCTTGTGCCCTTCCCAGGTGTGAAAGGCAGCAAAAGAGACATTCCTAAGAAAATACAAACAGCACCCTAGCTGGTCTGGCCCAGTGGATAGAGCATCAGCCTGTGGACTGAAGGATCCCGGGTTCGATTCCGGTCAAGGGCGCTGCCCGGGTTGTGGGCTCGATGGCCAGTAGGGGGCATGCAGGTCATAGGTTGCCTCTCAACTACTGAGCCACCGCCAGCCGGGCAAGACACCCAAATTTTTAAAAACACGCAAATAATGTAAAAATAAAGCTATGTATCGGCCATTCTCCCTATCGAAAACGCTTGTTAAAAAAAATCTGTACGTGTTGTCTTCTGAGTGACTTTCCTCGTGAAGCTGACGAGCGTCTCGCCGTCTGTTGCAGAGTCTACACGCGCCCCCCTAACCTGGTCCTGACCGTCATGAATGCCGTCTGCATCCTCCTGCAGAAGAAACCTACTTGGGCGACGGCCAAGCTACTGCTCTCGGAGACCGGCTTCCTGAAGAAACTGGTTCAGATCGACAAGGACCGGTTACCCGATAAGGTAAAGAGCTGCTCGCCGGCGACTGCATCCGGGGCACGTTTGCATTTACAAACCAAGGGAGTCAAACAGAAGCGTAAAAATCAGAATTCTGGCCGAAACCGGTGTGGCTCAGTGGATAGAGCGTCGGCCTGCGGACTGAAAGGTCCCAGGTTCGATTCCGGTCAGGGGCATGTACCTGGGTTGCGGGCACATCCCCAGTAGGAGGTGTGCAGGAGGCAGCTGATCGATGTTTCTCTCTCATCGATGTTTCTAACTCTCTATCTCTCTCCCTTCCTCTCTGTAAAAAATCAATAAAATATATTTTTAAAAAAATAGAATTTTGGCCCAGCTGGTGTAGCACCGAGGTTGAGCGTTGACCTACGAACCAGGAGGTCACATGCATAGGTTGCGGGCTCGATCCCCAGTGAGTGGGGGTGGTCGGGCGGGTAGAGGGGTGAAGGAGGCAGCTCATCAATGATTCTCTTTTGCCCAAATCTAGCAGTCACCCAGGTCGTTTGGGGGTTCCTTTCAGAGGTCATTGTTCCACAGGTAGCTGTGGATTTGGTGTCTCTGGGGGAGGAGGGGAGTCGGGGATCTGGCTGCGCCACCGTCCTGAACCTGGTCCCGGAGAGCTATTGTTACCGTGCGTCAAAGGGTTGTGTACAACACGGCCGGCTGGCACTGTTCTGAGCACTTGCCAGTGCGGACGTGTGTGGGAGGAGATGGGGGCAGATGGGAGCACAGAAAAAAAATCAGAGAAAGTAAGGTCGTCTGGACACCTCGTGAAGAGTTTTTCTGGAGCAGATCTAATTCAGAGACTTGCCCGGCTGGTGTGGCTCAGTGGTTGAGAAGCAGCCTAAGAGTCAGGAGGTCACGGTTCAATTCCCGGGCAGGGCACAGGCCCGGGTTGTGGGCTCGATCCCCAGTGTTGGGGGTTGCCGGAGGTAGTCGATCAGTGATGCTCTCTCATCCTTGATGTTTCTCTCTCCCTTTCCCTCTCCCTTCCTCTCTAATAAATCAATAGAAATATATTTAACAGAAGATAAGACTGTGGCTTCACTGTAGGATGTAAGAAGGATGATAGCAGGGCTAGAGCCCTGAGCAAGCAGTGGGGTGAGGGCAGCATAGAGTGGGGCCCTGCTGGACAGGTGAGACTCGCAGGAAGAGGAAAGGGGGGAGCAGGGTAGGCAGCGAGTTACAAGGCCCTGGACCCTGCCTGGCACTGTATGTAGATGGACGCACAGGAGAGCCAGATGCCACTGGTGTGGCCACGATCCAGGTCGCGTGTGGCCACCAGAAGCCGAAAGAGGCAAGAAGCGGATTCCTCTCTAAAGTCCCCAGAAGGACGTCCAGAAGGTTGTCTGGAAGGACATCCGGTCTAATTAGCATATTACGCTTTTATTGTGATAGATAGGAGCCCCAATAATAAACCGAGGGCAGGCCGCCTGCATCCCTCAGCTGAGTGGTTCTGTCCGGCTTTGGGGTGCGGGGGGTGGCAGGAGGAGGAATCTGAGATTTCCTCCTGACCACGGCCCCCAGAAGTAGAGGAGAAATACTGCGGGGCTGTCTCCACCGTGGGCTGTGCCGTTTCCACGCAGCGGATCTATAGCAGTGGTCAGCAAACTGCGGCTCGCGAGCCACATGCGGCTCTTTGGCCCGTTGAGTGTGACTCTTCCACAAAATTAGCACTGTACGTGCGCACCCGCACGTGATATTTTGTGGAAGAGCCACACTCAAGGGGGCGCCCTTGAGTGTGGCCACGAAGTTTCAATCGCACCGTCCGTGCGCGCCCGTACGTGGTATTTTGTGGAAGAGCCACACTCAAGGGGCCAAAGAGCCGCATGTGGCTCGCGAGCCGCAGTTTGCCGACCACTGGTCTATAGGCGTGTGGCACAGCTAAGTGAGAGGGTGACCTCATGAGCCCCAGGGTGCCCTGGGCCATGCCCCCCCCGTTGGCCGGCAGGACCTCTGAGCAGGTGTGTCCAGCCCACTCCCCTCTTGGGGTCCCCAGCCCCTCACCCCTGAGGCCCACAGGAAGCAGACCTCAGACCTCCGCGCACTCCAACTTGTGCGAAGCCAGAGAAAGTTAACGAGTTCTATTTTTACTTTTAAACGGAGCTCCTCTTTTAAAAACTGTAGCAAAGGTCCTGTAGCAGTAACAGCAGCGACAAGATGTCTGCACTGGGGGCTTCCC